TAGTTCGTATACAAAATTATAATAATAATTTTGTACACAAAAAGTCATTATAAATACGTTTAATTTGCATTTCTAAAAATCTGTTTTAATCAACCTGAAGTATTAAGAAAATGGAGATTCGTGTAAATTTCACAGCAGTGAATTATAATATTAATTAAATAATTATTTTAGTAGAATCGCTACGAAATTTGTATATATAAATATACAGTTGAAAATACAAAGATTATTTAGAAATTTTTTTTGTTCTTAAATATTATATATTATACTATTTATCTAAAAAAGAAAATTATTATCCTCGACAATTGGAGCACCCTCGGCAATTGGTGCAGTTACCCTATCATTTCTTTTAAAAAATAAAATTTTTCACGTAAGAATTCAATTTTTTAATAGAATTCTTCGTCAGATTTCAATTATTTTTAATTTTTTAATGAAATTTCTCGATGGAATTTACTTTATTAATTTATTTTCAAAAAGTAGTTAAAATTTTTGAGAAACTCAATTATTTAAAAAAAAACTTGAATAAGATTCTTCACAAAAAATTAATTATTTTCATAATTAATAATATTTTTCTTCGGAATTCAATTAAATTCACAAATAAAATTCTTCACAGGAATTTAATTCTTTAAAACAATTTTTAATAAAATTCGTTGCAAAAATTCAATTATTTTCATAAATAACAACACTTATCGCAGAATTTCAATTATTTTTTATCCAATTTTCAATAAAATGATAGAAAATTGAATTTATTCTCACAATTTTTTATAAAAAGCGACGAAAGAATTCAATTATTTTTAAAAATTTTGATAAAATTCTTCATAAAAATTCAATTTCAAGAAATATTCAATTATTTAATAAATTATTTATTTTTGTATTTAACATTTTAAGTAATTGAATTCTCGAAAAAATTTTTAATAAAAATTGATTAAAAAATGAATTTCACTTAAAAATTAAAAATTTTAATTTTGAATATTAAATGCATTATAGCGTGAATTTGAAAATAAATGTTAATAGAAAATTTTTTTGAGTATCTAATAATTTTTGGAGTGAATAATAATACTTATTCTGAAAATCAGGGAAAAGTCAATGAAAAACAAAATAAAATTTTTGTAGCAACCCTGATAAATTTATATCTTCGATTCAAGATTATTTCAATGAATGCTTGAAAAAGAGGAAAAAACTTGTTGATTCAGAATTTCATTTTTATCAGTGAGCGCACTTATCCCGATTTTATATGCTTTCAAGCAGACTCGTTTCTCGTTACGAGCAAAACATTTTAGTGGCTCATAAAACTTTATACGAAATGATTTCTAAAGGGGGTGAGAGATGATTTCCCGTATAATGATTCTACAAATCGATTTTGAGCCATTCGGGAATGAAAAGAGATGCGAAAACATGAAATCAACTCTCGCGTCATTTTACAATTTTCTTCGATTATTTTTCACATTTTTCTGATTCTCGAGAAGCAAACAATTCAACGAGACAACTGCGCGACAATAAATCTATCAAAGACAGAAGTAAATGTGCTGATCAATATAACCTCTATAGAGGAAAATATAAATGGCAAAACCATTGTGCGTTCGAATGCAAAAGCTTCCGGATCAATGACTTGATAAGCCCTTGATTTATGAGAAAGAGAACTTTTCCTTTTCTGAAACATTTGCCAAAAAAAAAAAAAACTCGACACGCTTTATGCTTGATTAGAAAAGAAGAGATGTCATATTTTCACTTTTGTTACGCAAAATAGAACAATATTTGAATTAGAAGAATTTATTTTCGGAATTTCTTTTCGGAATTAGATGATTTTTTTCTTCTAACAAAATTTTTTTTTTACAAAAGAAAAATGTCACAGGACAATATAAAAAACTATTAAATTTCTAGAATTAATAGAAAAATTCTGCATTTTGTTATACAGCAGCCTTTCAAAATATTGGAAAGATTTAATTCAACTTTAAATCTATCGATTTAAATAGTTAAATTTAAATTCAATATATTTTCATAAATTTTGATATAAAATAAATTTTATCTAAGAGTTTATTTACATTCAATAAATTTTTTATTTAATTCCTTCAAAAAATTTAATTATTTCTAATATTTTTAAAGAAAATCCTTTCAAAGAATTAAATTGTTTTCAAAATTTATAATAAAATTCTCTGCATGAATTCAATTATTTTCACAAACAACAAATTTTTTCCCTAGAATTCAATTATGTCAAAAAATCCTAAAAAAAAACCGTTTCAAGAATTCAATTATTTTCAATTTCATTTAAATAAAATTTCTCAAAAAAATTCAATTCTTGCTGAAAATTTTAATAATTAAATTAAAATTCAATTATTTTTATAAATTTTGATATAAAATAAATTTTATCTAAGAATTTATTTCCTTTCACAATACAATTTTTACTAAAATTCCGTAAAAAATTCCAATTACTTCTAAATTTTGAAACAAAATTCTTTCAAAGAATTCAATTATTTTCAAAAATTATAATAAAATTTTTCAGATGAATTAAATTGTGTAGAAAATAATTTTAATAATATTTTCCTCAAGAATTCAATTATTTTCGCATAAAAAATTTTTTTTCAGAGAAATTCAATATTTTCAAAATTTTTAATAAAATTCTGTATATTAATTGAAATATTACAATATAATTTTAATTAAATTCTGCAAAAAAAAAAAAATTTGCATAAATTCAATTATTTTTATAAATAAAATTTTTGAGAGAATTCAATTATTTTCAAAAATTTTAATAAAATTTTAAATATGAATATAATAATTTTTAGAAATAACAAAAATTCTTATAGAATTTTCAATAAGATTTCAATTATTTTCAATACAATTTTAATTGAATAATTGAATTACGAATTACTTAAGAGAATTAAATTATTTTCAATACAATTTTGGTAAAAATTCTCGAAAGAATTCAATTATTTTTAATAAAATTTAATTAAATTCGATAAGAATTGAATTATGTTTAATAAAATTGTAATTGAATTCTTCGGAAAAATTTGAAATTATTCAATTATTTTCAAAAATAATACAATTCTTTGCTGTAATTCAATTATTTCCAGTCCAATTTGAATGAAATTTTTCGAAAGGATTTAATTATTTTTAAAAAGTTTAATGATATATATTTTTTTTTTTAATATTTAAATTTTAATCTAAATTTTAAAAATATTTAAATTTTAATCTCAAGAATTTTAATTCTTCCGATGAATTCAATTATTTTCAATTATTTTCAATACAATTTTAATAAAATTCTTGAAATTTAATTGCAATATTTTCAAATTTTCGAAATTTCATAAAACTTAGTTGTAAACAAGTGGATTTCAAAAAAATTTAGTTGGATTTTTTTTTCAAAGGAACTTTTTTAAAAATTATTAAAAATAATAATGATTCAGGGATGAATTTCAGATTAAAATGCTTAAAAATAATTGATTTGAAATCTTGAAAATAATTTTGAAAAAATTACAGTAGCAATTCTTGTATAATAAATTATTGAATTTCAAAAGATCTGAAATTTAAAATTGAAAAAAAATTCTAATTCCTGTGGAAAAATAATAATAACTCTTTAAATTTTGATTATTAAACTTTAAGGCTTTTTGCTTTTGAATTTGTAAATTTTACTAATAATTTAGTAGAAATTATTATTTATTAGAAAAGTTTACAATTATTATTATGAATTAGTAAATTTTTGCTAATAATTTAGTAGAAATTATTATTTATTAAAAAAGTTTACTAATTCAAAAGCAAAAATTCAGTTACTAATTCAAATTTCCAAATATTTTTATTATAATTCAAATTATTAGATAAAGTGATTAAATATTTATTTTTATTTAGAAAAAATTATTCATATTTCGAATAATTTTGCAATGAAAGTTATTCAAACCTAAGTGTATAATATGTCAAATATTTTTAACTTTTATTTTTTTATTTTTTTTTTTAATTTTAATATTGTTTACAGTACAGCAGAATATTCTTTTTATACTTTCTTTTCTTCATAGGGTCAGAAAGAAACTCAAAATTCTCTCCAAGTTTATGCGAAATATAATTTTAAAAAAAAAGTTATTTTTCTTCTCAAAAGAGTATATTTAAACAATCACGAGTGTCAAAGGTTTTCAATTTTCATTCAAGACCGAGTTATAAAAGGAGCACTTGATAAAATTAAAGTTTTGCGTGTGTGCGCTACCTGAGTGAGTAATGAGCCTATTTAATAATTTGTCTGGAGATATGTCCCACAGGAAGCAGAAAAAAATAAGCATGCGAACTTACTCACGTGACATTAGCACTTTAAAATACAAAAAAAAAAAAAAAAAAAACAGAAAAGAAAGAAAAAGAAAAAAAAACTCAGTTCAGGGTGAGCTTGCGGAGGAGAAACCTCGTCAAAAATTTTGCCGAGTGATAAAAAGCTTGTGTTAAACCAGTGAAAAATGTAAAAGGACCTAGATTATTTTACGCGAGACAAAGGAGGGAATATTAACAAAAGAAATGGGAACAATGACAAGATTTTTCAATCCTCTGTAAAAAAAAGAAAAAAAAAGTCAACTTTTTTCCATACAAAGAAGAGTCGTTTTTCAAATACGTGCCTTTTATAAATTAATAAATTTTCCCGGTTATCATTTTATATATAGCAATTCAGTTGTTTTCTTTTGGAGAAGAAAAATTTTATTAATTACAGAAGAAAATTTTTATCAACTGGGCAAAAGAAAATTGTTATCAACTGCAAAAGAAAACAATAAAAAATTCTATTAATTATAGAAGAAAACCTTTATCAACTACAAAAGAAAATTCTATTAATTATAGAAGAAAACCTTTATCAACTGGACAAAAGAAAACTCTATTAATTACAGAAGAAATTTGTTATCAACTGCAAAAGAAAATTCTATAAATTAAAAAATAAAAAAAATAAAAAATTTTATTAAAAGTTTTAAAGAAGAAAAGAAGAAAAGAAGAAAGTGAAGATTATTATAAAGAGAACTTAACTTTAAAAAATTTTTTTCAAACTCAAAATTATATTATCGAACACGATAACTAATGAACGATCTAAACTTGTTAATTTTCGGATCAAAACTCAAAATCTGTTCACGAAACGAAAGTGATAACAAGATAGAAATAAATGGAAGCATCGACCTAATGACGAACCATGTCCTCTTAATTTTTGGCTTAGCATTAAATTTTCTAATAATCATCGTAATTGTCCTCAATCATTCAATGCATAAATCGACGAGTTGCTATATTCTGAGTTTCGTCTCATCAAATTTACTTCTTCTGTTAGATACGCTAAGCAACAATCTTCACTGGTGGTACAATATTAATATTTATTTCGACATTCCATATATTATTAGTTTGACATTTAATTCGTCTATTTTAACTCTCGGAATGCTGACAATGGACCGATATATTTTCATTCATAAAAGACTGAACTCTGCTAAAAATAGTCGTCTTATGAATAATTCAATATTCCACTTAAAAATAGCTGGAAAAATTGTCATCGTCATTTGGATTTTTACTTTGGTAATTACTGCAATGGAATTTCATTTATATGAAAAATTCGAACGCAAAGAAGTGTACACCAACAATATTGATCCGAGAATTCAAATTTTTGTAATTTTCTCCTTCATCTTTGTGGCGTTGCCCATGATTCTTATTATCTGGCTGGGGAGTTTGTTGATTTATGAGATGGAGCAACTGAGAATGATTGCAGGTGTTAACAAGGAGGATGCTGAAAGTCTTCGACTCTTGGGTAAGTATTTTTTCTCTCTTCTTCTTTTTTTTGTGAAAATTTTACTCAATGTTTTAAATAAAGTTTGAAAATAAATTTTTAAGACATTTGAAGACAAAGTGAACTGTACTATATAGTATATGGTAAATATATTCTATTCTGTATAGTATATGATAAATATATTATACCAAATAGAAAATAGTAAATAGTAAATAATATAGTAAATAATTCAGTAAATAGTAAATATACAGTAAATAGTAAAAATATTGATGATTCTTCACTCAATGGTTACTTTTCATTCCCCACTGTTCCCTATTTAATAACTTTAAAAATTATTTTTAAATCTGCTTCAAAATTTTGCACAATTAATCTTCACAATGCTTTTCAGTAATATGATAATCGAAAAAGATTTCTTTTTTTAAAACAAAAATTATGATTTAATTGGAAAAAGCACAAAAATGCACTTTTCTTGATTATCCACAAAGAAATCATCAAGTTTAATAAGGTTTATTTTACACAAAACCAATTTAAATATGAGGCTGAAGTTTCACAACATTTTTAAAAATGAAAATTCAAAAAAGAATTTTTTTTCAATTTAAATTCATTTTTAATTTTAAACAAATTTTCCAAGAAATTAATTATTACTCCAAAGACAATTGCTAAAGTACAACATGAATTTTAAGTTTAAATAAAATATATCTTCACATTATTGTTTGGTTCTTGTTTTAAAAAACTTTGCTGACTTCGTGTTTTTATTTATTCAATTCGAAAGTTTGTCTCAATAAGTTTAATTAACAAAAAAAAAAGATTGCATTTTGTTAAAGTTTTTTTAAATAAACTTACCATTCAAAAATAATCATTTTATTTCAAAATAAAAATTTTAATATTATTTAATATTATTTTCACAAAAATTCAAATTTTCAAAGATTTCTATATAAAATTCGTGTGAAAATTAATTATTTCTAAAAATTCACACTGTAATACTTTTAATATTCAATTATCATCTAAAATTTTAACTGAAATTCAGTTTTTAAATCATAATTCTTCTTAAAAAATTTTACAAGAATTAATGTATTAAAATAAAAATAAATAATTTATTGAATCTTTAAATATTTCTTAAAATGGAATTCTTATGAAGAACTTTATTAAAATTTCTTTAAATATTTGAATTCTTTGGGAATTTTAAAAAATAAATAAATTCTATCGACAAATATTGTTTAACTTTTTAAAAATAAATAAAATTCCTTTAAGAAATTTTATTGAGATTGTAGTGAAAATAATTGAATTTAGTCCGAAGAGTTTTTTAACATATGAAAATAATTGAACTTTTGCGACGTATTTTTTTTTGCAATAATTAAATTCTTTTTGGGAAATTTTATTTAAATAGTAGATATTGAAAATAATTGAATTTCAACGAAGAGTTTCATTGTTTGGGAAAATAATTGAATTCTTACGAGAAATTTTCTTAAAATTTTTGAAAATAATTGAATTGTTTCATAGAATTTTTAAAAAATTTTGAGAATAATTGCATTTTTTGAGGAATTTATTTAAAATTCTATTAAAAATAATTGAAAAAAATAATTGAAATTCTTCGATGAGTTTTATTAGTTGTGGAAATAAATGTAGTTTTGCAAAAAAATTTTTAAGTAATTGAATTCTCGCGATCGAAGTTTATTACATTTTTTTTTAAATAATTGAATTCTTGAGAAGAAGTTGATTAAAATCTTTTTATTTATTTTTTTTTATTAATTTTTTTTTATTTGTTTATTTATTTATTTAACAAGTATACGGGACAAGCCCTTTTTAATGTAATTATTTTAATTGCTGCTAATAATTAAATTTTATTAAGAAATTATTTTAAAATTGTAATGAAAATATTTGAATTTTTGCGAAGAATTTTAATATTTATGATAATAATTAATAATTGAATTCTTGGGAAGAATTTTATCAGAATTTTTGAAAATAATTGAATTCTTTCAAAGGATTTTGTTAAAATTTTCCAAAAACAGGTAATTAAAGTCTTTCGAGAAATTTAATTAAAATTGTATTTAAAGTACTTTCAGTTTTATAAATTTCAATTCAATTTTCTATCAAAATTGATAAAAATAATTGAATTTAAATATAATTATTAAAATTTTCATCACGAATTGAATTCTGTTTGAGAAATTTTATTTAAATGGAATTGAAAATAATTGAATTCTTGCGACGTATTTTATTAACATTTTTTTATGTAATTGAATTTCTGAAAAAAATTTTGTTATTTGTTAAAATAATTGAATTCCTGCACCGATTTTGGGAAATTTTATGAAAATTTGAAAATAGAGTAGATATTAAAAATAATCGAATTATAACAAAGAATTTCATTTAAATTTTTTCGAAATACTTAAATTCTATCAAGAAATTTAATAAAAAATATATTGAAAATAATTATTAGATTCTAATAAACAAATTATATCAAAATTTTGTTAAATAATTGAATTTTTTTGAAGAATTTAAAAAAAAAATATTTCAGTATACATAATCGTATTTTTTCAAGGAATTCATTAAAGTTTGTATTAAAAATAATTGAAATTCTGTGAAGAATTTTATTATTTATGAAAATAATAATTGAATTCCTGAATAACGAATTTTGTTAATATTTTTTGAAATAATTGAATTCTGGGAAAAAAAATGTTGTTATTTGTGAAAATAATTGAATTCTTGCAACAATTTTTATAAAAATTTTTTTAAAAAATACTTAAATCCTTGCGAATAATTTTATAAAAATCTTTTTAAAATAATTGATATTTTTCAAAAAATGTTAGAAAAATTACATTTTAAAATAATTGAATTCCTGTGAAAGTTTTATTATTAAAATGAATTGAAAATAACTAAATGCTTACAAAGAATATTATAATTTTTTTTTCAAATAATTGAATTGTTTTGGGAAATTTTTTTTAATTAAAATAGTACGTAGAAAGTCTACTGAAAATAATTGAATCGTTTGAAAGAATTTTATTAAAATTTGTTGAATATTGTTTCGAGAAATTTTATTAAAATTAATTTTAATTAAAAAAAAATGGTTGTAGCTGGTATAACAGTTGGATTTTTGTTCACCATGGCACCATACAGAGTAGCCTTGATTTTCAATTACCTGTTTCCGATAATGTGTTGCTCAAAGGATAATTTAAGACTCTGTTGCACAATAATTAAAGGAACCATTATTGTCTTCCCTCTCATCTGCTTTGCGACTTCGAGACAAATTCAATCAGCTCTTAAGGTTCGTATATATTCCTAAGGCAACTAAAATCGTTAACCTCAAACTTTTACTTATATTAATATTAAATTTAATATTAAATTTAATATTAAATTAAATTACAAAAAAAAAATAATTTTACTTATTTTTAGAAAACACTTTTTCGTTGTCGATGCAATTTGACGAAACCAGAAAACCTCAAGAATGCCTCAAAGAGTGCGGTGAAGACCGTTTGTGAAGAATTGAAAACTAATGAAAGAGACAGTAGTGGCAATTATAGATGAGACAATAAAAAAAGGGAATTGAAAACTCTTCTCAAGTCGAATCATAAATACTTGAATTTTTGTAATTTTTTAAATTAGTTTTTATCCAGCGAAGTATAAGAATGCCAAAGAAATGAATGAAGAAAAAAACTAAAAAAAACCTATTTTAAAAAACATTTTATTAAAAAAGAAAAAATTAATTTAAAAAAAACCGACAAAGAGAGAAAAAAGAGAGAAAGAGAGAGAAAGAGTTGATAATAATAGACGTTGTGCAGTGCGATAGTCGGTTCTATTTGTTTTTCGATTTGGTATTCCACTCACAATCGACCCTTTCAGCATCCACGAGGGAATTTTTATCCAAAGAAACACGCTTATGAACCGAGAGAGGAAGCATCGAAGGAAGATATGTCGTACGTGCTCACTTGGAGACACCGCGAAACAGGAAATCAGTGAGGTGGAAAGTAGCCACGCCAAGAAAAAGGGAACTTCCGTCTTCCAAGATCTTTTTTTGATATGAGAATTCAATTTTCGAACCCAATCCCTTCCCCTCCATCCTCATACCGAAAAATCGTAACGACAATAATCAAATTTTACGATTTTACGAATCCAACAAAATTCACGTTATGAATATATTCGAAATTATTTAAATACGAAAAAAAAGAATCAGAAATTTTCTTCGAGAATTTATATTGTTCTAAATGTCTTTTACAGAAACATTTCCTAAAATAAACAATACCATTAAAAATTTATTTCTTATTAATTAAATTATTAATTATTAATAGTAACGACAATAATTAAATTTTATGATTTTACGAATCCAACAAAATTCGAGTTTTGAATAATATTCTAAATTATATTTAGGAAAAGAATCAGAAATTTTCTTCAAAATTTATTGTATTCTAAATGTCTTTTACAAAAACAATTTCTAAAATAAATAATTACCATTAAAATAGAAAAAAATTATTTCCTAGTTCCTCAGTATTCATCGCAATGCTTCTATTTATTCTCCCGAATAAAAAATTGTGTATTATTTATATATTGAAAAACAAAAGACTTTTTGTAAATGTTTATCTTATCTATTATGCACGTTCTGCATGAGTATGAGTCAAATATTTCATATATTTCATAAATATGATTTACAAGAAGTATCTTAAAGTCAATAAAAATATGTGTCTGGGATCACGTATTCTTCGCCAGGATCTTAAAATATCAACCCAGACATTTATATCTTCTTTAAAATTTATCACTAATTTTAACGATATTTTATAAAAAAGTAAATTTTTTAAAAATTTAATTTATTTATTTATTTATTTATTTATTTATTTATTTATTTATTTATTTATTTATTTATTTATTTATTTATTTATTTATTTATTTATTTATTTATTTATTTATTTATTTATTTATTTATTTATTTATTTATTTATTTATTTATTTATTTATTTATTTATTTATTTATTTATTTATTTATTTATTTATTTATTTATTTATTTATTTATTTATTTATTTATTTATTTATTTATTTATTTATTTATTTATTTATTTATTTATTTATTTATTTATTTATTTATTTATTTATTTATTTATTTATTTATTTATTTATTTATTTATTTATTTATTTATTTATTTATTTATTTATTTATTTATTTATTTATTTATTTATTTATTTATTTATTTATTTATAAACAGGCAATGTGTTAGCAGTGCAATTTTATTATTATATTCTGTTATATTTAAAATTACTGTTTAAATTTGAATTAGTAAAAAAATAAAAACTTGAAGTATATCAAATAATGATGCGAAACTTCAAAAAAAAAAAAACAATTAATTAAAGTAAAAGTTTAAGTCACCATAACTTTCTTTTATATTCGAGGCGAATAAAAAGCAAACCAGAACAAGTGGAAGGAGGAGACGATTTGTCATTTTTTATTGGCAATTCAGAGGGGAACAAGTACTGATGATAATGACTTTATAAAAACACTAAACAGAATAATGTCTCTCATTGTAACGTTATTAAAAATCTCTCGTATTTTCTCACATGTGGGAAATATTTCATTAAATTAATCATCTATTGTCATCGATTAATTAAAGTTAAAGTACACAGTCACCTTTCTCTTCTGTGAAAAATTTGCGCTCTGTATTTATTATTAACTATTGTTATTATAATTACAACTTTGATCACAAAAACAAAAATGATAACACAGTTTTCCTAAGAATATCAAATTGAGACAAAAAAGTATTTTGTCTGAATTTTGTATCCTTGGAAAAACTGTGAAAAACTAAATAATAATAATAATAACAATAATATTAACAATAATAATACTATTTACTACTCTTTTTACGATTTGCTACTATTTGAATACTTTTTTTTATTTGTTACATTAAAATTTTCAAAAAATTTTAATAAAGTTATTATTATTTTCAAAAAATTTTAATAAAATTCTTCGGAAAAATTCAATTATCTTCACCGACAATAAAATTATTTGCAGAAATTCAATTATTTTAAGAAATTTTTATAAAATTCTTCGCAAGAATTCAATTATTTAAAAAAAAATTAATAAACTTCCCAAGAATTCAATTATTATTTTTAGAAATAATAAAATTCTTGTCAGAAATTAGTATTAATTATTTTTTAAAAATTTTAATAAAATTCTTTGCAAAAATTCAATTATTTTCATAAATAATAAAATTCATCGCAGGAATTGAATTATTTTTTTTTAAATTTTAATAATAATCGTTGCAAAAATTCAATTCTATTTAAAAATTTTAAAACTCGACACAGGATTTCAAATATTTTTAATACAATTTTAAAAGAATTCAGCGAAAATGCAATTATTTAAAATGAATTTGATATAATTTGTTAATTAGAATTTAATAATTATTATTAATTTTATTTTAAATTATATTTCTTGAAAGAATACAATTATTTTCAGAAATTTTTATAAAATTCTTCACAAGAATTCAATTATTATTAAAAATAATAAAATTCTTTTCAGAAATTCAATTTTTTTCAAAAATTTTAATAAAATTCTTTGAAAAACTTCAATTATTTTCATAAATCATAAAAATTTTCCAGTAATTCAATTATTTACAATTTCTTTGCAATAATTCAATTATTTTCATGAATAATAAAATTTTTTACAGGGATTTAATTATTTTTTCATGCATGCCAAAATTCTTTTTAGGAATTCAATTATTTTCGTGAATAATAAAACTCATCACATATTTTCAATTATTTTTAATACAATTTTAATCAAATTCCTCGAAAAATGCAATTATTTTCAAAAATATTCATCACAAGCATTCAATTATTTTCAACAGTAATAAAATTCTTTATGCAAAAATTCAAATGTGTTCAAAAATTTAAAAAAAATTCTTTTTAAAATTTCAATTATGTTTATAAATAATAAAACTCTCCTTCGAAATTAAATAATTTTCAAAAATTTTGAATAAAATTCTTGGCAAAATTTCAATTTTTTTCATAAATTTTCCAAAATAATACAATTATTTAAAAAAAACATTAATAAAATTCTACGCAAATATTTAATTATTTTCTATAAATCATAAAATTTGGTCAAAAATTCAATTATTTACCATTTTTTTTCATAAATTTCTTCTCAATAATTCAATTATTTTCATGAATAATAAAATTTTTTATAGAGATTCAATTATTTTCATGAATAATAAAATTTTTTATAGAGATTCAATTATTTTCATAAATAAAAAAAATTTTGTTTAGGAATTCAATTATTTCCATGAATAATAAAACTCATCACATAATTTCAATTATTTTTAATACAATTTAAATCAAATTCTTTGAAAAATGTAATTATTCTTCAAAATTTTAATAAAATTCTTTGTAAGAGTAACAATTATTTTAAAAAATTTTAATAAAGAAATTCTTTATAATAATTAAATTGTTTTCAATATATAATTTTGATACAAGTTTTTGAAAGAATTTAATTACTTTTATAAATAATATATATAATTTTCAAAGAAATTCAATTATTTAAAACAAAGTGACAAAAATGCAATTATTTGCATAAATAATAAAATTCATCGCAGGATTTCAATTTCTTTTAATATAATTTTTGAATTAATTCCGCTAAAAACGCAATTATTCTTAAATATTTGAATAAAATTCTTGTAAAAATGATTACTATAATTTAAATTAGTGACTGACTTTTTGCTTTTGAATTAGTAACTTTTATTAATAAATTAGTAGAACTTGCTATTTATTAGTAAAATTTATTTATTCAATAGCAAAAAATGAGTCACAAATTCAAAATAGTAAACGTTTTTATACTAATTAAAATTTGGAGAGAATAATAATTTATGATCACTAGTCAAACAAAGGCATAAATCTTTCTTGACGATTTGAATAAAACGGTGAAACTTGCGAGGCTGTCGAATTCATTAGCAAACATATAATTATATGGTAGATCATAGATGTTAGGAAACGGCTCCTAATTTCTCTCAAAAAAAAAAGTTGAACAGGGTCGAAGCCAAAAAATCCAACACTCCACGTGTCCAATGAAAATATTTTATCACGTGTGACATTCTTATAAGGCAAAACAACTTTTCAAGAGTGGATCTAACTTTATTAGATTCAGACTACTGAACCGCGGAAAGCAAAAAAAAAAATATTAATTTAAAACTGTATATTATTAATTATTATCGAATACAAATTTAAAAATTATAATTATAAAATAAAGCTTAAATTACTTTAGATTAAGAACAACATTTAAGCGCTTTAATGCTTCTTCTTCTTCTTTGGAGCGCGTCACAAATAAATAAATAATTGAGAAAAAATTAATATTTTTTAATATTACAATTTACAATACAGAAAGTCAGTAGCAAATAATAAATAAATTAAGATTTCATAAGCGCAGCAATAAACTTTTGCGTAACTTTAAAGATTTCTGTAATAATTACCGGCATTGATCGTGAATTTACGAAAATTACGATGCTTTCAATTTAGTTTCATACAAAGATTTGAGGTAATTAAATAAAAAATTAGAGAGAAAAACTACCTAATATTTTTAGCATTTATACAGTATAAAGTTTATAAGTTGGAGAATTTATTTCTCGCAAAGTAAAATGATATCCTGCGCAGCGTAACATATTCTGACATAAAATTAGGAAGTCCTTAAGATTCTTAATATTCAACTCGATTCAATCCTCTTAGAAGTTGAAGAAACTTTTAATCAAATCACAACCAAAGTTACCTCGTCATTCCAAATTATCGTGTATGATATGCAAAAGAGATTATCGTTTGCAATAATTTTCGAAACTATATACGTATATATTTTAATCCCCCCAAGACCTATATTACGATTTTAATTTTAGAAAAATTATCAAAAATAGATTCTCGAAGAAATAAACAAAATAAAATTATACCAAGAAATACTTATACCTAACAAAAGCATAATTCGTTGCAAGAATTCAATTATTTTTACAAATAACAAAATTTTTTCCACAAATTAAATTATTTTTATAATTTTAATAAAATTTTAAACAATAACTGCATTTTTCGAGAAATTCATTTAAAATTGTAATTTTAAATGAATTTATGAAAATATAATTGATTTTTTTCGAAAAATTTTATGAAATATTTTAAATAATTCAATTTCTGTGTTATTACTTTTGAAAAAATTGAATGTTTGCGAAGAATATCAGAAATCTTTTGTGGAATTTTATTAAAATTGTATAGATATATTA